TCTTGGCCATCTAGATATGTTCTTTGAAAAAAAATGTTATTCATGTCTTCTGCCCATTTGTTAACTAGGTTATTTTTTTGGGTGTTGATTTTTATAAGTTGGTTATGTAATTTGGATACTGCCCCTTTATCAGATATGTAATTTGCAAATATCTCCTCCCTTTTATATTCGTTCATTCGTTTCCTTTGCTATACAGAATCTTTTTATGTTGATGAAGTCTTAACAGTTAATTTTTGCTTTTGCTTCCCTTGCCTCAGAAGACATATCTAGTAAGAGGTTGCTATGGCTGATGTCAAAGAGGTTACTGTCTGTGTTCTCCTTTAGGATCTTGATGGTTTCTGGTCTCATATTTCCTTCTTTCATCCATTTTGAATTTATTTTTGTATATGGTATAAGAAAGTGGTCCAATTTCATTCTTTTGAATGCTACTGTCCAATTTTCCCAACACCATATGTTGAAGAGACTATCTTTTCCATTGGATATTCTTTCCTGGTTTGTGGAATATTAATTGATCATATAGAGTTGTGGATTCATTTCTGGATTTTCTATTCTGTTCTATTGATCTATTTGTCCTTTTTTTTTTGTTCCAGTGCCATACAGTCTTGATCATTACAGCTTTCAAACATAACTTGATTGCCTTTGGTAATATAGACATTTTAACAATATTTGTTCTTCCAATCCATTAGCATGAAATGTTTTTCCCAATTCTTTAGTTTCTTTCATCAATGTTTCATAGTTTTCATAACCTCTTTGGTTATGTTTATTTCTAGGTATCTTATGGTTTTTGATACAATTGTAAATGAGACTGATTTCTTGATTTCTTTTTGAGGATGACATTAGCTGTGGGTTTTTCATATATGGTTTTATGATATTGAGGTATGTTCCTTCTAATCCTACTTTGTTGGGGATTTATTATGAATGGATATTGTATTTGATCAAATGCTCTGCATCACTTGAGATGATCATATTTTTTTATTCTTTCTTTAATTAATGCTATATATAATGCTGATTATGAATATTGAACCACCCTTGCAATCCAGGAATAAATCCCACTTGGTCGTAGTAAAAGTTATTTTTTTTCATTTTAGGTTAATTTTTAAGTAATCTCTCTACCAAATGTGGGGCTCAAACTCACAACCCTGAAATCAAGGGTCACATGCTCTACTACCTGAGCAGGCCAGGAACTTCTGTTTTTTTATTATTATTATTATCTTTTGTGGATTAGGTTTGCTAGTAGTTCAGTGAGAATTTTTGCATCTGTATTCATTTGTAATATTGGCCTGTAGTTCTCTTTTTAGTGGTGTCTTTATCTGGTTTTGGTATCAGAGTAATGCTTCCTCATAGAATGAATTTGGAAGTTTTCCTTTCTTTTCTAATTTTTTGGAATAGTTTGAAAAGCATACATATACATATTAACTCTTCTTTAAAGACTTGTTAGAATTTGCCTGTGAAGCCATCTGGTCCTGGATGTTGGGTTGTTGGCAGTTTTTTTAAATGATTCAATTTCATTCCTGGTAATTGTTCTGTTCAAATTTTCTATTTCTTCTTGTTTCAGTTTGTGTAATCTATATGTTTCTAGGAATTTTTTCATTTCCTCCAAGTTGTCCAAACTTTTGGCATAGTTTTTCATCATATTCTGTTATGATTGTTTATATCTCTGTAATGTTGTTATTTCTCTTCTGTTATTTGTGATTTTATTTATTTCAGTCATTTTTCTTTTTGATAAGTCTGGCTAGAGGTTTATCAATTTTATTAATTTTTTTCAGGAATGCAGCTCCTGGTTTCAGCTCCTTTTGCTTGTTTTAGTTTCTATATAATTTATTTCAAAGCAGTGTATAACTTTTGCTAGTTTTTAAAAATGAAACAGCCCTTTACTGATAAATAACTCCTATTAAATTTTAATATATTCATATTTATTTTCATAACTGAAGCTTTTTAAAAATTAGCTTTTAATGAGTCATAATCTTAGTTTGAAAATATGAAGTAGTATTATACTTAAGCTTGCTCAGTAATCTTAAAGATTTTAATTTTAATTTGTTTATTGTGATAGTTTGCCATCTTGATTCTTCAGCCTGGCAGAAGGGTATCATTTTCTCTGTTCTTTCTTCTTAGAAAACAAAATGCCTGGTAACTTCTAAAATGGACCAATAAGGCAGTAGAAATGAAGTTATCAAATTAATAGTCATCACATTTCTTTGGTCTTTATTAAGGTGCTTGGGTCTTGAAAGTAGTTCCCTTAGATCAAATTGTCTCTCACTATGTTGCTTATCTCATATATCACAAACTTTTTATTTTTTTATTTTTTTTTATTTATTTATTTTTTTTTGGTTTTTCTTCTCTTTTTTTTCTGTTTTGTATAGAGTACTATTTGTTAAAAACAATCTTTTTTCCTTCAACTGTCTTTTTTTTTTATAAATTAATTTTTATTGGTGTTCAATTTACCAACATACAGAATAACACCCAGTGCTCATCCCGTCAAGTGTCCCCCTCTGTGCCCGTCACCCATTCACCACCACCCCCCGCCCTCCTCCCCTTCCACCACCCCTAGTTCATTTCCCAGAGTTAGAAGTCTTTATGTTCTGTGTCCCTTTCTGATATCTCCCACACATTTCTTCTCCCTTCCCTTATATTCCCCTTCACTATTATTCATATTCCCCAAATAAGTGAGAACATACACTGTTTGTCCTTCTCCGATTGACTTACTTCACTCAGCATAATACCCTCCAGTTCCATCCACGTTGAAGCAAATGGTGGGTATTTGTTGTTTCTAATGGCTGAGTAATATTCCATTGTATACATAAACCACATCTTCTTTATCCATTCATCTTTCGATGGGCACCGAGGCTCCTTCCACAGTTTGGCTATTGTGGACATGGCTGCTAGAAACATCGGGGTGCAGGTGCCCCGGCGTTTCATTGCATCTGAATCTTCGGGGTAAATCCCTAACAGTGCAATTGCTGGGTCGTAGGGCAGGTCTATTTTTAATTCTTTGAGGAACCTCCACACAGTTTTCCAGAGTGGCTGCACCAGTTCACATTCCCACCAACAGTGTAAGAGGGTTCCCTTTTATCCGCATCCTCTCCAACATTTGTTGTTTCCTGCCTTGTTAATTTTCCCCATTCTCACTGGTGTGAGGTGGTATCTCATTGTGGTTTTGATTTGTATTTCCCTGATGGCAAGTGATGCAGAGCATTTTCTCATGTGCATGTTGGCCATGTCTATGTCTTCCTCTGTGAGATTTCTCTTCATGTCTTTTGCCCATTTCATGATTGGACTGTTTGTTTCTTTGGTGTTGAGTTTAATAAGTTCTTTATAGATTTTGGAAACTAGCCCTTTATCTGATATGTTATTTGCAAATATCTTCTCCCATTCTGTAGGTTGTCTTTGAGTTTTGTTGACTGTATCCTTTGCTGTGCAAAAGCTTCTTATCTTGATGAAGTCCCAATAGTTCATTTTTGCTTTTGTTTCTTTTGTTTTCGTGGATGTATCTTGCAAGAAGTTACTGTGGCCAAGTTCAAAAAGGGTGTTGCCTGTGTTCTCCTCTAGGATTTTGATGGAGTCTTGTCTCACATTTAAATCTTTCATCCATTTTGAGTTTATCTTTGTGTATGGTGCAAGAGAGTGGTCTAGTTTCATTCTTCTGCATGTGGATGACCAATTTTCCCAGCACCATTTATTGAAGAGACTGTCTTTCTTCCAGTGGATCGCCTTTACTCCTTTGTCGAATATTAGTTGACCATAAAGTTCAGGGTCCATTTCTGGATTCTCTATTCTGTTCCATTGGTCTATGTGTCTGTTTTTGTGCCAGTACCACACTGTCTTGATGACCACAGCTTTGTAGTACAACCTGAAATCTGGCATTGTGATGCCCCCAGCTATGGTTTTCTTTTTTAAAATTCCCCTGGCTATTCGGGGTCTTTTCTGATTCCACACAAATCTTAAAAGAATTTGTTCTAAGTCTCTGAAAAAAGTCCATGGTATTTTGATAGGGATTGCATTGAACGTGTAAATTGCCCTGGGTAGCATTGACATTTTCACAATATTAATTCTGCCAATCCATGAGCATGGAATATTTTTCCATCTCTTTGTGTCTTCCTCAATTTCTTTCAGAAGTGTTCTATAGTTTTTAGGGTATAGATCCTTTACCTCTTTGGTTAGGTTTATTCCTAGGTATCTTATGCTTTTGGGTGCAATTGTAAATGGGATTGACTCCTTAATTTCTCTTTCTTCAGTCTCACTGTTAGTGTATAGGAATGCCATTGATTTCTGGGCATTGATTTTGTATCCTGCCACGCTACCAAATTGCTGTATGAGTTCTAGCAATCTTGGGGTGGAGGCTTTTGGGTTTTCTATGTAGAGTATCATGTCATCGGCGAAGAGGGAGAGTTTGACTTCTTCTTTGCCAATTTGAATGCCTTTAATGTCTTTTTGTTGTCTGATTGCTGAGGCTAGGACTTCCAATACTATGTTGAATAGCAGTGGTGAGAGTGGACATCCCTGTCTGGTTCCTGATCTTAGGGGAAAGGCTCCCAGTGCTTCCCCATTGAGAATGATATTTGCTGTGGGCTTTTCGTAGATGGCTTTTAAGATATCGAGGAAAGTTCCCTCTATCCCTACACTCTGAAGAGTTTTAATCAGGAATGGATGCTGTATTTTGTCAAATGCTTTCTCTGCATCTAATGAGAGGAACAATCAATGTGATTCATCATATCAGCAAGAGAAAAACCAAGAACCATATGATCCTCTCATTATCACAAACTTTTTAAAATCCATGATCAAGTCATCTATTTAAAAATTTTTCTTTCCTATGTATGTATGTATGTATGATAGTATGATTTACTAAATGAATTAAAATGAGCAAATCTTGAGTGTAATTTATAGAGAAAAATATATCCTTATAAAATTAGAGAAAATGCATGGACATATATATGTGCTAACGTGTGTATAGCAAGAATGTCTTGAAACATGATTTTTACTTTTTTAAAAAATTCCTCTATTAGGTTTTTCTTGTTCGAAAGAAGACTGGTCCTGATGCTGGGCAGCTCTATGCAATGAAAGTGTTAAAAAAAGCTTCTTTAAAAGGTAGAAAATTACAAAGCTTATTAAAATAGAATTTGAAAAAAATAGAATTTGATAAAGCTTGTTTTAAGACACATGCTGTGTATTGCTTGTATAAGTTGAGTAGACTCAGTTTCCTTTAAACATTAGTAATTGTTACAGTTTTCTAACCTGTAAGTGATATTTCTAAGTTTGATATTGGCATATGCTCTAATTTAATGACACTGTACCCTGGTAAAAAAATCATATAAAAAGTGACACATTTTATTTAATATTTAATATATTTAATATAAAGTAAACTTATTAGGCTATATTCTTTTATTTCAAAATTCATATTTTTTTTCTCTTCACCTGTGCTGGTTTTGTATACTGAAAAATCACAACCACCTGGATAGAAGTACATACACCATCTTCTAGGATGTGATAGCAATAACACTGTGCTCAGTTTTTATCAGAAAGTCATTTGAACAATTGAAGACCAATACATAATAAATACATGCTAGCCAAATACTTATTCATGTCACTTTAATCCATCTAGATCTAAACTGAATTTGATGACTTTCTGAGAATATGGTAATTACTGCCTAGGAATATATAGATTGCAAATTTAGGCACTTATAAAGTTATATTTTCATACTTTTGTTTGCTGAATTATTAATGGGACCTCTACTGAAATTTTATATAGAGTAATATATTCTACCCTTCTATAATTTTTAGTTCGAGACAGAGTTCGGACAAAAATGGAAAGGGATATACTGGTGGAAGTAAATCATCCATTTATTGTTAAATTACACTATGGTATGTAATTTTTTTATTTTATGGAATTAGAGAATATTTCCTTTCAAACAATAATATAACAAAATAAATACTTCAAATTATTTAATACATTCAACTATGTAAAATATATTTATCTGAAATAAGAATAAGAATATCTTGCTTTGAATTGTATTTTCTGAATCTGTTGGTTAATTTGTCTAAGGTAATAAGATAGTATCTTCTGATTACTTGTCTGGTAATATTTCTTTACTCTGCTAGGCTATACCTTTAATGATCTTAGGCCCTAAACTGTGATAATTTATTCAAAACATCTGAAGTTTGGATGTGTTCCTCTTACATGTTCATAATGAGCATATTATTTTATTTCCTAGCTCTACTGAAGAGTACCATATAGTTATATTAGTCCCTTTGAGTTATTCTTTCTTATATTTCGGGGAGGAGGAATACCTGTAAGAAGCAGTAAATATAATGGCAAGAACATGAATTTGGAGTCAGACAGTTCTGAGTTTGAATCATGGCTCCATTGATAATTTAATGCATGTGTGAGATTGTGAAATTTGGCTTTTCTGGATAATTCAAAGGTATATACATAATTAAATCACTTATACATTCTTTGATGTCACTTTAAGTTTTCAAGATTTAAAAAAGTAGCAGCTATTGATTTTATTCTTAAATAATTTTGAAAAATAATGTGTTAAGGTATATACTAAATTATTTTTATAGAAAGCCCTCAAGAAATTTCCACTCATTATTCTTTCACTCTCTGTTATCCTAAATCGAAAGTAGTAGTATCTAAAGTCCCCCTTCCTTGAATCACCAGGATGTCATTACATTAATAACTAAATACCAGCTGTATGCAAAACAGTATTGAATGCAGTAGGCTCTAGAGGTGAAACAATCTCTGATCTTAAAAAACTTATAATCTCTTGGAACAAAGACAAATTAATTTTGTATAATTTAATTGTACAAATAAAAATGGAGTAAGTTCCACAAGACAGACATAAATAAAGAACAATGAAATCTCAAAAGTAGTAAGTAATTCTTATTGAGAAGAGGATAAGGATGCTATAAAATGTGAAAAGAGAGAAATCTTAAACAGAGGAAAATTTAATGGAGGAGGTGGAATTTTTGTTGAGCTTGAAAGAATTAGTAGACTTTCGGTAGATAGGGAGGTAGAGTACAGGCAGTTTGCAATAGAACGTAATACTCCATAAATCAGGAAAATGACAGTAGAAGTTTCTGAGTAAAACCATATGTAAAGCTGATTATGTTCTAGGAAGGGGTTTATAATTATTTCAACACTAAATTCAATTTTGAGATAATGTTATACAATACTATTGAGCCATGTGAATAAATGCTTAATTCCTTTATAGTATTTAATGATAAAACTCTAAACATACATATTAATTAAAAATTATGCCAAGCTTGTTAAGCCTTTAAGACTGTTCTGTTACTACATTATAATTTATAATTAGCCTTTCAGACTGAAGGGAAGCTGTATTTAATACTGGATTTTCTCAGGGGAGGAGATGTCTTCACAAGATTATCCAAAGAGGTGGGTATCTGTTTGTAAATTTTTACTATATTTTATTGAAACAAAACTAAGAAAAATCATTTGTGTTCTGCTAATTAATTTTTTCTATACAAATTTTAAATACTTATTCTGTTTGCTTCACTGCATAGTATTTAGTTGAAATGTTAGTTAATGGCATTTTCTGTCTGCCTGTCATTTAGATCATTTCAATGTGCTACTCATGATTTTATTAGACACAAGATCAATAAAATAAATGGATGAAGTAGATAGGGGCAAGCCTAGGATTTTGGCTACTCAAGCTACCAAAATACCTCTGGGAGTAGTTTTTAATTTATTCTAAAACAGTTTTATGGAAATATAATTGACATACAATGAATTGCACCTATTAGAGTATGTACTTTGATAGAATTTGACATTTGCATATATCTGTGAAATCATCATCACAAGATAATAAACTTATCCATCATTCCCAACCATTTTCTTGCACTCATTTGTAATGCCTCCCTCTGCCCTTCCTCTACTGAATCTGCTTTCTGTCATTGTTTGGTTTACATTTTCCAGGACTTTATATAAATGGAATTATATAGTGTCTATTCTCTTTTTGACTAGCTTATTTAACTAAGAATAATTATTGTGAGATTTAGCCATGGTGTTTTATGTATCAGTGGTTCATTCGCTTTCATTGCTGAGTGGTATTCCACTGTATGGATATACCACGATTTGTTTATGCATGAACATATGATGGGTATTTGGGTTTGCAATTTTTGGATATTACTAATAAAGCTGCTATAAACATTAATGTTCAAATGTTTGTATGGACATATGTTTTCATTTTCATGGTTAAATACCTAGGAGAATACTGACTGGGCTATTTGGTAGGTGTATGTTTTAACTTATTTTAAAGACACTATCAAATTTTTTCTAAGGTAGGATTATAATTTTTACGATCTCACCAGCAGCATATGAGAGTTTCAGTTGCTCCACATCATTGCCATCATTGCTCCACATCATTGCCAACCCTTGATATGGTCAGTAGTCTTGTTTTTATTTTGGACATAAGTGTGTAGTGGTACCTTATTGTGGTTTTGAATTGCATAATCCTAATGACTAATGATGATGAGCATCTCTACATGCACTTATTTGGCATCTATTTATCTTCTTTGATAACATGTCTGTTTAAATATTTGGCTCATTTTTTATTAAGTTGTATTATTTATGAGTTTTAGGAGTCTTATTATATATTTTGGATGGTAAGTCCTTTTATCATGTATGTTGTTTGCAAATATTTTCTTCTGGTCCATGGTTTGTCTTTTCATTCTCTTAACAGTGTCTTTCAAAAATCAGAAGTTCGTAACTTTGATGAAGCCCAACTTATAATTTTTTCTTTAATAAATTTGGTGTCCTATTTTAAGAATATTTACCTAATCTCAGGTCACATAGGTTTTCTATGTTTTCTAGACATTTTGTAATTTTAGGTTTTACATTTAAGTTTATAATCCGTTTTGAGTTTATTTTAGCGTATGTCAAGGGGTATGCGTTGAAGTTGTAGTTCTTTTTTATTTTTGCATATACATAGCCCATTGTTCTAGCATTGTGATTAGCAAAGTCTGCTTTCTTCATTGAATGATGTTGCATTTTGTTGAAAAATCAATTGACCATATATGTGAAAGTCTATTTCTGGACATTCTATTTTTTTCCATCGATCTATCTTTGTTTCACTACCACTTGATTTTTTAATTGCTGCACCCTTGTAATATGTCGTAAAATAAGGTAGAGTAAATCCTTGAGTTTTGCTCTTCTCTTTCAAAGTGGTTTTGGGTCTTCTGGGTCCTTTGTATTTCCGTGTCAATTTTATTTATTTTTTTAATAAATTTATTTTTTATTGGTGTTCAATTTGTCAACATACAGAATAACACCCAGTGCTCATCCCGTCAAGTGCCCCCCTCAGTGCCCGCCACCCAGTCACCCCCACCCCCCGCCCACCTCCCCTTCCACCACCCCTAGTTCGTTTCCCAGAGTTAGGACTCTTTCATGTTCTGTCTCCCCCGTATCAAATTTAAATTTAAAATCTTTCACTTAAAAAAATAAAAAATAAAATAAAATCTTTCACTTTCTACAAAAAATCTTGCTGGGATTTTGACTGGGTTTGCATTGAATCTATAGGTCAATGTGCAGATAATTGACATTTTGACAATATTGAATCTTCAATCCATGAATGTAATATTTTTCTCCAGTTTTTGAGTCTCCTTTAGTTCTTCTCAGCAATTTCTTGTCATTGTCAGTGTATAGGTCTTGCACATTTTTAATCAGATTTATCTTTATGTATTTCCTTTTTAAAAATGCCATTGCAAATAGAGTTGCTTTCTTATTCATTTCATTTTTAAGTTGGATGGAAATACAGCTGACTTTTTTGCACATTGAACTTGTATTCCACAATTTAATTGAACTTACTTATTATATCTAACAGCTTTTGCGGGTAGATTCCATAGAATTTTCTACTTATAACCTACAAATAAGGAGATTTTGTTTTTTTTTTCCATTATGGGCATCATGTATTTCTTTTATTTGTCTTTGTTGCACTGGCTTGACCCTCCAGTTCAGTGTTCTGTAAAATTGATAAGAGCAGATATTCTTGCCTTATTTCTGATCATAGGGGAAAAGCATAATTTTAGCATAAGTTACAAAGTTCAGTATTTAACATGTTCTTTATGAGATTGTGAAAGTTCTCTTCTGTTACTAGATTGTTGAATTTTTATCAGGTATGTACATTCGATTTTGTAATATTCTTTCACATCAATTATTGAGATAATACTCATTTGAGTGTTAGACCTGTTACATTTAATGTGATTATTGATATGGCTGTGTTTAAATATCCAATTTTGCTGTTTGTGTGGAGTGGTTTTTTTTTTTTTTTGTCCCATCCATTCTTTATTTTTCCCTCTTTTTCTGCATTATTTTATGCTAGTTTTGATGTACAACACAATGATTTGACACTTGTATAAATTCAAATTTTTGTCTTGTGATGAGAAATTTCAAGATCTATTCTCGTGGCATCTGTAAATATGCACTAAAATACCATTGTCTATAGCCACCATGCTGCCCACCACCTACCCATGACCTATTCATTTATCACAACAAAAATTTGTACCTACTAATCCCCCTTATCCATTTCCCTGACCCACCAGCCATCCTTTCCCAGGCAGCCACCACTCTGTTCTCCATATCCATAACTTTTATTTAATTTTTATAATACATATATAAGTGAGATAAAATGGTATTTGTTGGGGCACCTGGGTGGCTCAGTGGTTGAGTATCTGCCTTTGGCTCAGGTCATGATTCCAGGGTCCTGGGATCAAGTCCTGCATTGAGCTCCTGGCAGGGAACTTGCTTCTCCCTCTGCCTATGTCTGTCTCTCTCTGTGTGTCTCTCATGAATGAATAAATAAAGTCATTTTAAAATGGTATTTGTCACTCTCTGACTTATTTTACTTAGCATAACACATGGAGGGTCCACCCATGTTGTTATGAATGGCAAGATTTCCGTCTTTTATATGGCTAAATAACAATCCTTGTATATATACACTACATCTTCTTTATCCATTCATACATCATTGGGCATACATGATTTCTGTATATTGGCTCTTGAAAAGAATACTCCAGGGAACATAGGGGTGGACATATCTTTTCAAATTGGTGTTTTTATTTTGCTTCGATAAATGTCCAGTCCCAGAATTGCTAAATCATATGATATTTCTATTTTTGCTTTTTGATGGAAACTTCATATATTGTTTTGCATACTTGCTATACCAATTTACATTAGTACCTATAGTGCACAAGTGTTCCATTTTCTCTGCTTCCTCCTCAACACTTGTTATTTCTTGTCTCTTTTGATGATAGCTGCTCTAACAGGTATGAGGTGATAATTCATTGTGGGTTTGATTTGTATTTCCCTGATGATTAGTGATATCTTCTTCAAAAATATGTCTATTCAGATCCTCTGCTCATTTTTTAAATTGAATTATTTAGGGGATTTTTGGTGATGAGTTGCAGGAGTTCTTTGTATATTTTGAATAGTAATAACTTATCAAATTTGTGACTTGAAAATATTTTCTTCCATTTAGTACATTGCCTTTTCATTTCAGAGATGTTTTTCATTGCTGTACAGATGCTTTTTACTTTCATGTGGTTCCATTTGTTTATTATTGTTTTTGTTACCATTACTTTAGGAATCAGTTAAAAAGAAAAAGACTTATGGCAAGTTTACTTCCTAAGTTTTCTTCTAGGAGATTTATGGTTTCAGATCCTACATTTAACTCGTTAGTCCATTTTAGTTAGTTTTTTGTGTATGGTATAAGAGAGTAGTCTAGTTTCATTATTTTCATGTGACTGTCCAGTTCTCCCATACAATTTATTAAATAGACTATCTTTTCCCCCTTATATATATTTACCACATTTATAATAAAATAATTGACCATATTTAAGTGAGTTAATTTCTGTGCTCTTCATTCTGTTCTATTGAGGCATATGTTTGTTTTTATGCCAATACCATATTGTTTTGATTACTATAGCTCTATAATATAGTTTTAAATCAGGGAGCTTGATGACAATTTTTATTTTTTCTTTATCAAGATCGCTTTGGCTATTTGGGGTCTTTTATGATTCCAAACAAATTTTATAATTGTTCATTCTATTCTTTTTTGAATAATGCCATTGGAATTTGGCACAGATTGCATTGAATTTGTCCATTTTTTGGCATTATGGACATTTTAAAAATATTAATTCTTCCAATACATAAGTATGGAATTATATTTCTATTTATTTGTGCCTTCAATTTTTTTTCATCATTGTTTTATAGTTTTCAATGTAGAGATTTTTCACTTCTTTGGTTAAGTTTGTATCTAGATATTTTATTCTTTTTGATATAATGTGAATGGATATTTTTCTTAATTTATCTTTCTAAGAGTTCATTATTAGTTTGTAAAAATATAACAGAGTTTTGCCTGTTGGTTTTGTACCTGCATTTTACTGATTTTGTTCATTAGTTCTAACATTTTCTAAATGGAGTTTTCTGTATTTTCTATGTACAAACTGATGGTGTCTGCAAATAGTGACAGTTCTACTTCTTTCCAGCTTGGATGACTTTTTTATTTCCTTTTCTTGCCTAATTGCTCTGGCTAGGATTTCTAATGCCTATGTGGAATAAAAGTGGAGATAGTGGACATGATTGTATTGTTTCTGATCTTAGGAAGCTTTTCACAGTTGAATATGATGTTAGCTGTAGAATTATTATGTTGAAGTATGTTCCCTATACACCAACATTTTTGAGAGGTTTTATCCAAATGGATATTGAATTTCGTCAGATACTTTTTCTGCATCTAGTGATATGATCATATAAATTTTATCTTTTATTCTGTTAATGTTGTATATCACGTTGATTGATTTGTGGAAGTGGAAACATTGTTATATCCCTATAATAAATCACCTTCGATCATGATACATGATCTTTTTAATATATTTTTGAATTTGTTTGCTAATATTTTGTTGAGAATTTTTTTTAATCTATGTTTATTAGGGATATTGGCTTGCCATTTTCTATGTTTTTCTATGTCTTTCTTTTTCTCCCTTTCCATTTTTAGTGTTCCTGGTTTTGTTACCAGGATGAAATAATTTTGAAAACTTCACTTCCACTTCAATTTTTTGAAATGGATCTAGGATAGTTATTATCTCTTCTTTAAGTGTTTGGTAAAATTCCCCTGTGAAGGTGTCTGGCTTTTGTTTGTCTATATTTTTTAATATAAAAGATTCAATTTTACTACTACTTAATTGGTTAGTTCAGATTTTCTTTTTTTCTTGATATAGTCTTGGGTTATTACAGGATTATAGGAATTTATCTTTTCTTCTAAGTAGTCCAAAATGTTGGCTTGTAATTGTTCATAGCAGCCTCTTATAATGTTCTATATTTCTGTGATAACAGTTGCAATTTCTCTTTCATTTCCCTTTTTTGTTTTTGTATTTTTAAAATGTTATTG